AACTACATCACGATCATTTTCGTTATCGTTTTCTCACTCAGGCCTAGGTTCACGTCCTCGTCATGTTAGATTAAATCATTTACGCTTTCATCTCCAGTAGGGCAGACTTCAGCAGTGAGTGCTTCTTTTGATTCTAAAGGGCCTATTTCTACACAACAGCCAGGACAACTCACCTACACATGTTATATCTTAAAAGTAGATTAACCAAGTTAGATGTTAATGAATCAGACGGATATCTGAAGTGTTGCACACAGTTTGAACCAGCTTGACCATGACATAAAACGACTTCTGCAAACCTTTTGATTGTTTTGTGACACCCACCATCAGAAATGATAAGACTGTGTGCCCCCTCATCACCGGTGTAACATATATACAAGACGTGAATAGACGTTCATTTGCATGTGATTTACCAAAGAACACGTTAAGAGGTAGTTCTGAAGTCATACAAGTTTCTAATAAACATCAGAGACTCCCCCTCACTATTCACCTTCAAGAAATCCCTAAAAACTCACCTCTTCAACATCGCCTACAACCACTAACAAAATGTTCTCATCCTCTTTCTTTTTTGACTATTTCTTATTTGTTTAGCATCTTTGAGTACTCAGAAAGGTGCTATAAAAGTCTAATGTATCATTCTTCTTATTATTATTATTATATAATTATATAATAATAATAATAAAATTATAAAAAAAATATATAATAATAATAATAAAACTGTAATATGTGCAAATAAAAAAGCACAGTATGGTGGCAGAGATGATTTATTTTCAGCTTCTGGTCTCCTTTAAAACTCAATAAAACTCTCCTCTGCTGCATGTCGCCTGTGGTTCAATCACATCTCTGCTGCACTTTAATCACGTCACTGTATTTGCTGCAGTTCATCTCAGCACTGCATCTGAATTGAAAGTGAAAACACAGACGACAGAAAACCAGGTCTGATGTGGAGGAAATCTGAAGCGATGTCAAGCAGCACTCATGGCTCCTGACATCTCTCAAGACAAACATAAATAAAGCATATTCATGAGTTTTTTTTCCCTGACATGTCAGCAGATTGAATGTGAAGTCCAGCGGTAGTCTCACCTTTTCAGACACTGACCTGTGTCTAAATAACAGCTAGCTAGATTTAGCCTCACCTGGAAATGACACTCAAACGTACTCGCATTTGCGTCAACACAACAAAGCACCCCTAAATCTTCAAGAAAAGCCATTTTCAATCCCGGGGACACTCACCGTCCTCCTCCTGCCCGGTGTCAAAACATAAACGACGGAGTATCTGCTGAAGGACCCGACCACTGAACGACTGTATGATCGTTTCCGCTCAGTGTTTGGATATTAAATTAAAACATTGAGATGTCAACAGAGACCCTCCCCACACTTACTGTTTTCAAGAGTTCAAAAACCTGCGTCTCTTCTTTCTCTTCAGCTGAGCAGGACGAATATGCAAATGTGCAAGGCTGCTGTTTTCTGCTCAGTGTTCAAAAACACCACCTCATGTCGGTGACGTTTCCCTTTCCGGGATGATCATTCCTCCATTTCCGGTAAAACATTTCACCCCCCCCCCCCTCCCCTCCCCTTTTTAAATGACATATTTTCACAGCAAAGGATAAAAACATTAAAAACAAAACATTCATGCCAAGAAACTTGATATTGTAAACCATTGTGAAAAAATAAGTAATACATTTCAATAACACAAGATCATCTTTACTGCTCCATCATCATTACAACTTTGATATTTACAGTCTCAGCAATGAAATAATGAAAAATAAAACAATGACAATAATGATAATAATAAAAGATAAAATAAGGATAAGTATATAGGCTATTCATTTTCACCACTATTATATGTGCTTTTATTTATTTAGTTTTTAGTTTTTATCTGTACTATTTATATTTTTGTTCATCTTTAACGTCTCTTCCTTGCACCTCGAAAAAAAAAATGAGGATATAGTCCAGGTACACAAAAACAAAGAGCTCGAGCATGTCCCTAAGAAAGTCATTTACAAGAGCTTGGAAGACGGCTGGAGCGTTGGAAAGCCCAAATGGCATTGCAAGATTACATTTCTTGGGTCCAACTTTTTGAAGATGGATGCACCCTGCAGGTGCTCAAATTCAGTGGACATGAGAGGGAGTGAGTAGCTGTTCTTCACCGTGATCTTAGTAAGTCCCCTGTAGTCCCCTGTCCATCTTCCCCACAAAGAAGAACCCCGCCCCAGCTGGTGACGTAGAGGGGAGAATCAGTGGTGTATAGTGCAGGGTAAACGCAGGTACTGAGTATACACATTTAATATTTCAGTCTCTGTAGAGTATTCCCACTTCTAAATCCCCTCTGATTCACACCATGATTGATTGACGATATTCAGTAGTACACTGCTGAGGACAAAGGAGAGCAGACATAGGCAGTCTAAGTTTTCGTGTTAGGACCAAGTCAATAAAACTAGCAGCTGCCCCTGAATCAACAAATGCTTGTAGGTTGAACCGGCCATTACCCCAGAATAATACCAAGGGGCAGGAAGGTGTGGCGGTTTGCTGCCCAGGGGAATTTATTCAGACTCTCTCTGTTACGCTCCTTCTCTCTCTGTTGCGCTCACAGGTTTGGTTGTTGATCCGAATTTCCAAAGAGATCAACTCCTGCAGTGAATCTGGCACATCGCGGGAGTCTAACTCGTCTTAACCATCTCTCACAGGGAGTAGATGAAAGTTGGTGTGAGAGCCTCCCAGTTCCACCCAGACTCAGCAGCTGGGGTGCTGAAGTGAGTGGAGAACTCTGAAACACTGAGCCCTGACATAACCCAATAAAATGCTTCTGCGTGATCAAACATTTTCCTCATTTCGGCCATGAAAAAGGCAGAATCAGCACAGGCTGGTGTCTGCCTGTCCCAACTGGCTGTGACCAAAGAAAGCTTTATCTGAGATATGGAAAATTATGTATGCTACCCGGGTTCGTACAGTGCAAAACATAGAAGGTTGCAAGCCAAGAAAACAGGCTCCCTTTTCTGAGATATGGAGAAATAAAACCACCACTGCCGAGCAGCTGATAGGCAACTGAATTATATTAAATGAGAAGAACAACCAACATTTCTACAGCTGAGACACCAGGCCCGTGTTTAAACAGAAACACATACAGTAGGCTAGGTCCAGAATTCCCAGTACCAACAGACTGTACTTTTAGACCTGATGGAAATAGTAGATAAGTCAAGTGGTGCTTATTCACTTCTAAAACGCACATGAAGAACTGAGAGAACCTTTCACTTTCTCTGATGGTGAGTCAATGAATCAGCACAGACCACTGCAACTCAAGGGAATATATAAGCTGGGCCACACCTGGGCCGAATCAGAGCCAATCAGTGACTCACACACCTGACACTGACAGAGAAGTGTGAGCTTCCTCACAATCTAATATTGTTTTGATACCCATTATTTACAACTAAAAATCATACTGAATCCATTAAAAAAACAAAAGTTGGATATTGAGTGATTACACAAGATACAGAAAAGATAGCACCACTTCAAATAAAAATACATTGTATACATATACATAAGCATTTACATATACAGCCTATATAAGTAAATCTATATGCCTAAATATACACACATTTTATACATACAAGTTGATTGAAAAAACTGAGCTCACATTATGGTCATGCTTGTGTTACAAAGTCTGACTGAAGATGGGATGAATGACCTGCGGAAGTCTGTAAATGAAATTTAAAACAAATATAGCTTAGTGCGTTTTCACAACTTTCTCTGTCTTAAATGATGGGGCCGTGTAGTAACTGATCTTTTTTTAATCAAAGCTCCATTGACAATCCGTCCTTTTCATATATTATTTCAAATAATCAAAACCAAATGTAAAGTGATATAACCGTCCTTCATCTTGCCTTTCAAACATGTTAAAGTGTTTGTTCCTGTAGTTTGACTATTTGCCCTGTTTTTCACCTTATGACCATCAACCCATAATACATTTAATGAATTTACTTTATAAAAAAAAAAAAAAAAATTCATTAAATTCATTCATGTTCATTAAACAAGGTTGAAATAAAAAAATGAGAAGTGAAATAATTGGAAAAATCAAACAGTATTGTAGGCCTAGTCGAGTCACCAAAAGAAGAGTCAGAGTGGAGTCATCATTAGGCTATGAGTGATTTGACCACATAGCTTAAATGATGTTGAGCAGATGTTGTTTCTTTTTCAATTGTGTTACATTGATGTGTGAATGTCTTCTTTAACTATTTACTTTAAAATATTAGAGAAGCTGTTTAACAGTTATTTTAAATGCTTAAATGTGTGCAGTTTAGGCTATTTTATTTAAGGCAAATTATCTTGGGACATTTCAGCATCAAAAATAAAACCTGCTTCAAACTCAACCGGACAGAGGAAACTCTGCACCTCCAGATAGGACTGAAAGTCCACATCTTAAATAGGCTCATGTTTTGAAGCCCGATCCGTTGGAGCTGCACATTTCATGGAAATTCCATGGCTGGTCGTGTGATAGGCTACTTTATGAATGTGGGTAGAAAACACATTTAATGTATTAACATAAGTTTCTGGAGATTTAAATTACAGGCTGAATGAAGTTTTGATTAATTTTAGGCTATTTAAAATTAATCACATGAGTTTTAATTTTGACCAGGGCTTACTCCAGACTTTGTATAGGATATATTATAGGCTATTTTCCTCATTCTTTATCAAAATGAGCAATTCTAGCCTAATAACCTATGTCCCCAATACATAAATCAAATGAATGTGCATGGTCTTAGATGAATGTTTTCTTGCACAGTAAAACAAAACTATCACATGATTGATCAAATAATTGTTTTAGCAGTATGTGTTTTAGATATTTGGGGTGGCCAGAGTTTTGTGAAGTCAAAGTGGGCTCACTCATTTAGATGACAGAGACTCTTCATGGACCCTCCTGACCGGCAGGGGGCAGACAACAGGACACGATAGACCGTAAACATACAGGGAGGAGTGCAGAACCGGAAGTGAGATGATATCAACAACCTAGGTGACAAGTTAGGGAAAACTTTCCTTAACTCGAAACCTATATGCTTCCTAAGTTTTACATACGACATGATTTGTCGTGATAGTAACAGGTACGTTATGAGGGAAGTGTTTCCCTTTGTGTGATGGAAGTTGTAGCTTAATACTCAAACTCAGTGGTTAGTGAAGCCTTTTGAAGCCGCTCGGTAAGCTCACTGTTATCTGTCAGCTGACCCCTGTGACTTCATATCAGTATATAAACATTGGTCTAATATGCACAGGTGTAGCTCTGCGTGGGGATTTAGTGTAGCTGTATTGTCTGCTCGCTGTCGTTGACTCGTCCAGGTAGTTTTTATGTGTCTCTGACAGAGCAGCCACTTTGCAATGGTGCTGCAGCTGCTCCCACCTGTCAACTAGCTGGCTCCTCTCCTCCTCGTCTCCTCTCCTCTCCTCTCCTCTCCTCCTCTCCTCTCCTGCAATGGCCCACTGCGGATCTTCCGAGCCGAGCGCTGCTAAGGTCCAGACTCCGCGTCCCGACAGCATGGCGTCGTCGCAGGGCAGCGTGGACCAGAGCATGAAGCCCGTGTTGTTCGAGATCTTCGGGGAGATGTGGACCGTCCAGTCCCGGCTCGGCCAGGGAGTGTCGGCCTCTGTGTACAGGGTCAGCTCGGGCACAGCCTCCACCGCCGCTGTCAAGGAGTTCCAGGCCGACACTCAGGGAGGAGACTACGGGTATCACAAGGAGAGGTCCGTGCTGGAAGACATCCAGGGACATAAAAACATCGGTACCCACATTATTTCACCAATTCAATCAGAAATATGATCTCATTTCAGTAAACAGAATGTGTGTAATTGTGATGTCTCACTTTGTAAGCGTTGGTTACAGAAGTAATGTGTTTTAAAAATGAAAACTTTACCACTATACAGAGCATGAGATGTATTCTGCCTGATGTGTTCTCTCTTAGTGACGCTGTACGGCGTGTTCACCAACCACAGCTGTACGGGTGTCACCACCCGCTGTCTTCTGCTGGAGCTCCTGGATGTCAGTGTGTCCGAGCTGTTGGTCAGAGGCAACAGTGGATCTCAGGATGGGAGGTAAGTGAAGTGACTTCCTACCTGTCATGTAGTAAGACTCTGATGAGGGGCGGGAATCACAGATAACTGATGTATTGACGATCATAAAATGATACAGCACAATAGCTGATAAACTGAAGAGTAATAAATGGCCCTAATAATGTAAACCCCGGGATGAATGTATTAACTTTCTGCGTGTCCCAGGCACAGCGGTGAGGGTGACGTGCAGACACACAGACAGATGAGCACACTGGAGCAGTTTGGATTGATAGCTGTATTTTATCAAATTGAAATATACATTTTTTTGGCCCCAGCGATAAGGTAATTGTATCACAGGAGTCACAACAACAAATATTGCTGTATCGCTTCCCCCCTGTGGCTCAGTGGTAGGGTCGGTCATCAGGGGTTCGATCCCCAGCTCCTGCAGACACTTAATCAAGACATTTACTCTTTAATTCAGCCTTTAGTAAGTTTCAGAGGTGGTTCTTTTATTGAGCCTACCCTCACTGATAAATCCATATTATGAATGTAACCTTGTCAGGACACAGTCAGACCCTGGTGTAGTAGTACACTACATGTTTATTTGGCCATTTAATGTTTTATTTAACCAGGAAAAAGTCTCATAGAGATTAAAAATCTCTTTTTCAAGAGCGTCCTGGCCAAGACAGGCAAACAGCACAATTACAGGGTTTCAGACACAAAACACTTAACAACAATGAACATAAATACAGGAATCACAAAAAGAAGCATTCATCAGAATCTGTCATAAGTCATTAGCAACACAAGACTTTACAGAGATGAGACGGGTATCTCTCAGTCAAACACACAAGATGACACACAGGCGCACTGACAGGTAAAGATGTGCTGCCATCTTGGAGATTTCTTTTTCAAAGGGAGGGCCACCCTTTGAATTGAAATCAGTAAAGGTCTGTAGGATGGTCTTTAAGGATAGCTTGAGCTTCTATTAGATTAAGAGTGTAATTTCTTTTTTTGGGCAGGTCCCAGCAGGGCCATTCCATGTGGCTCGTCCAGCACTGTGCCCGAGATATCCTAGAGGCCCTTGCCTTCCTTCACAGGGAAGGCTATGTCCATGCTGACCTCAAGCCACGCAACATCCTCTGGAGCGCTGACGACGAGTGCTTCAAGCTCATCGACTTCGGCCTCAGCTTCAAAGAGGGAAACCAGGTGGGTGTGTCTGAGGATTTGTAGGGCTGTGAAAGTTAACTATTGTATTTCTAACTCTCTACCCACCTCGCCTCCTCCAGGATGTCAAGTACATTCAAACAGATGGGTATCGCGCTCCAGAGGCTGAGCTTCAGAACAACCTCGCTCAGGCTGGGGTTGAGATGGAGGGGGACTCGGGCTGCTCGTCCGCCGTCGACATGTGGAGCCTCGGTATCATCCTGTTGGAGATGTTCTCAGGAATCAAACTCAAAGACACCGTCCGCTCGAAGGAGTGGAAGGTAATGACAAAGCTGTTCAGAAATCAAGTATGTCCTCTGTAAATATCGCTGAGTCATCAATGAGTCTGTCTACAATGAGTGAGAAGTGTGAGTCCCGCTGGCTGTGTTGTTGTCGGAGCTGTGTTTACATCATGTTCACGTGGACTGGACGGCCGACTCCTCCCCTTGTTTATAAATCTGTTTTAGACAAGGACTAGAGAAAAGCTTGTTTGGATGTCATGTAAGCGTTTTTAGATCACGGTCATTCTGTGTCGATTAACATGCAATGTAAAGCTACGAGCTAACTACAGTGTGCTGACTCGCTAACACAACAATGCAGGCCAAAGGCATTTTCAGCTCAAGCCAAGATCCAAGGTCGGCGACATCTACTTGATCAAAATGTTGCACATTCTTCCTTTAAGTAGAAAAACTTCGGGTGTATTAAAAGAAGAAGAAACAGAACTCAGGAAAAAGTGAAAGAAATGAGTTGAATGAGCTGTTATCAGTAAGAAAAACCTAAAAGAAATCGAAGCTTTATGAAATAAGACAAATGATGAACTTAAATCTGCTTCCTTCTCTTCTAGGATAACTGTGCTGCCATTGTCGACCATATTTTTGCCAGCAACAGTCTGGTGTCTCCAGCCATCCCTGTCTATCACCTCAGAGACCTTATCAAAAGGTACAGTGTTTCACTCAGAGCTGGGCAATCAGTGCAGTTCACATTGTTATGATATGACCACATTGCTTCATATTGTGTTTTGACCTTTTGTTACTCTGTCTTCAGCATGCTCCTCAACAACCCAAAGCAAAGATGCACGGCTGAAACTGCCCTGCTGAGCCCATTCTTCAGTATCCCCTTTGGTATGTGTCAATATTTGAGACCTTGAACAAGATGATAACACTTCTCAGTGGTTACAATATTTATGTGTGTGTGTGTGTGTGTGTGTCAGCTCCTCACATTGAGGACATGGTCCTGCTGCCCTCTCCTGTCCTGCGTCTGCTAAACCTGATCGAGGACAGCCACCTGCACAACGACGAGGAGTATGAAGGTACCTCTTCATAATTGTTTTTTTTTTTTCATGTCATTGAAGTGCATCGGGTTTAAAGTACTGAGAGTGAATTGTCTCATGTCGTTATTTTGCGCAGACATCCTGGAGGACATGAAAGAGGAGTGTCAGAAGTACGGCTCGGTGGTCTCTTTGCTCATCCCCAAAGAGAACCCAGGAAAAGGACAGGTTAGACTGTGTGCCCTTAACTCATTGTAAACATTTCCATTACACTGAAACTACAAACTCATTTTTACACACTGCTTTATTTGTGTTGTACAAAATACAACTTTAGTTCATACAAAAATATCAAAACGGCACGCACATCCGAGAAAGTTTAAGTACTGGGTGCTGAACAAAAAACATCCAAAGATAGAAAAGTACTGAGTCCGCACACCAGAAGCTGCTCCAATTAAATTAAGTTTAATGGAAAAATCACCGCATGTAACATGCGGGACGAGGGTCTGTACATCACAAGTTTCACTTGGCTGAGAGCTCAACTATTGTACTGTAGCTAGTAGGAGTGCAAACTCCACAGAGTGAAAACAGATGGTACTAAAAGAGCGACACAGCTGCTCAGAAACTGCAAAGGGTAGACTTCGCTGAACACAATCGAAACCATCACAAAGGAATACTTTAAACTTTTTTCTCTCTGGGAGACCTCCAATATCAGACTGCATCTTATAGACCGGTCACTTCATATTTAAAGTCATGCTGTATTACCATTACCCGTGACATCGCCCAACCCTTTAATGCACACATGGAGTCATTTACCATCTCGCTCATCTGCCTGTCCTTATCTGTCCACCAGGTCTTCGTCGAGTACGCCAACTCCAGTGACTCCAAAGAGGCTCAGAGGCTGCTGACAGGCCGCACCTTTGATGGAAAGTTTGTCGTTGCCACCTTCTATCCTCTCAGCGCCTATAAAAGAGGTTACTTGTACCAGACTGTGCAGTAAAGTCCTGAAGCTGAGTTTATACCTCTGCACTATTCACGTTAAATAAAAAAAATACGTCTACATATAGCAGCATAGGGGAGAAGTCTTTATCTCCCCATATACATGCAGATCATTTTCAGTGAATAATGTGTAGTTAGAAGTTCTGCATGCTAGCTCTGGTTTTCTGCAGTACATTCAGGCTTTCATGCAGAGTGTGAACTGAAGACTTCATTTCTGCTGCTTCCAGTGCATTACTCTTATCAGTGCACAACCTTCTAGTGCTTTAAAGGTCACATGTTATCCTCCTTTTCAACCAGTTCAAATAAGTCTCAGAGCTCCCCAATCATCCTGTATTTGATCATGCCTATAAACCCCTCTATTTCAGCCCTGAAACACATCGTGTCTGTAGCATTAACTGTAAATGAGCTGTTTTTGACCACACCCTGGTCCATGCTCTGTTGTTAACAGTGAGAAGGCAGACTCAGAGGGCAGAACAAACACCAAGCACACGAGGGAGGAGTTACTGCCCTTTGTGAAGTCATGAAGGGAAACAGCCTATTTGAGCACACATTTTCTGAAAAGTGGAGCAGGCAAAAGACGGAGGGGATTGGCTTTTTTCCTCATAATTGGGAGATTTGTAGACACACTATGGACACAAAGTGTATTTTGCATAATATGTGACCTTTAAGGTAACCTGCACTTTTCTAACTTTTCACAACTCTGGACCCCGAGTTTGTAATCTGGGTTCAGCAGTTCACTTTCTAACTACTATTTCACTCTCATTTATTCAGAAGTTAGCAGGCTGCATGATAAGGACACACAAATCTTCCCTCATGAGAGTCGCAGATCAAAAGCCTTTGTCCAATGTTCAGTGTTAAGAATTTGGAAATGTGCTTAAAGTTTTGATGAAATATTGCTGAAACTCTAAATATCATCAGTTAAGTCAGGGATGTGATTACAAACATGTAGCAGGATAACACTGAAGTCTCCCAGCACTGATGAATCAACTGAGGGTTTCCTGTGGTGATGAGTAGTTTTGTTATTTTATTGTTTCCTATTTATTTGAGTTCTATACATGTTAATGAGAGTATCAGTGTGGTACAGCAGGATCTGCACTTATCCTCTGCTGGCTTCTCAGGCAGGTTTCAGGGAGATCCTGCCTCTTATCAGGTGGTAGTTTTTTTACTCACGGTCTCTCTGCCTTCACCTGAGCACAGGCGAGGCCACAAGGCTCTTAGTGCCCTGTTTGGCATTTTGACTTCAGCACTGAATGGGAATGTAAGGAAGTGAGATTTATTTTTGGGCTTTCTGTGCCTCTATTGTAGAGATAGGACAGAGTAGGAAATCAGGGACAGACAGAGACAGTGAGGAATGACATGCAGGATTGGAGCCACAGGTCGGATTCGAACCTGGGCCGCCTGCTCGGAGGACTAGAGCCTCCTTTTATGGGGCATGCACACTTACCACTACGCTTCCAGCGCCCCAGAAGTTAGAATTGTTATAAGCAAGTTGAAAATGGTCAGATTTCTCGTAGATGTGCAGTCAGGAAAAACGTGATGCTTGAGTAAAAATGTCCTTTTCCCAAATGGAAAACAAGTCCTATGAACAACAAAATGAACAAAGTAGCTTTAGGTCCATCAACAATAAAAAAAAAATACTTCAAGCAAAGCTTTTATATGATATATATGGTGGAATATGAATGAGGGTGTATAGAGCCGTGCATGCAGTTCCTTTGCAGTACATGTTCAGCTGTTTCTCCATCGTGTGAGGAGTTATTTAATACCACTTAATGTAGAAGATTTTGGTTTCTGTGCTTCTATCACTCTTGGTCTTTAAGTAAGTTTGTTCATGAAACTATGCTAATAGCATTAGCTCGTATTGAGCCTAATCTATCACTAATCTGACAGAAATGTTATGAATGCTGTGCAGTCTTGAGACACACAAAATGGTATAGTTTTGTGACATTGGTTCTTAAAGGACCTGAAGACAGGTTTACTGTCCAGAAAGAAGCTGCATGATTGGGTTTGATAGCGGCTTCAGATTCAGCCTACTTCGTAGTCTTAGGTGATGTTTTGTTGGAAAATCCTTTTTGTTGTAGAAGCAGACATTTGTTTAATCTCTGGGTTTGTTTTTTTTTTTCCTTTTGGTTCCTCAAAATAAAATGCATTAAATATGTCCCAGTAACCCAGCACCCTATCACAGGGAATTAAAGACGATTTCTACACAAGTGCCCTACGACATTCAAGATAGCTAACCAACCAACATGCTGCTAAAACAACCACCGGTGCTACACCAACATGAGTTTTTTCCTTGTGTAGCCCAGACCGTTTTATATGCCTTAGAGAAGAGTTTCCCTCCCAGCAGATGTTTTTCTGTTCGTTCACAAAACCAGACTTCTGGGGTCACGAGCAGTGAGCAGTCATGTGTTGGAGTGTCTCCATAGAGACGCTAATTATCTTTTTTTACTGATTTATTGTGAAAGAAACATGCAGCTTTTTGAAGGCCTGTGGCTGCTACACCTCAAAGCGACACCGACATCATTATGCTTGATGCAACCAACCACAGAACATCATAATCTGACAGCGTTAGATTTAATGACTAAAAACCAAACAAGCTAACCACACACTCAACTAGCTTCAACTGCTTCTTAGCATTTATCAGGACTGTTCAGCCTAACGCTGAGTAAAGCTCGGTCGCAACTCTTGACCCTACCATTTAGCCCTGTCTCTGCATTTTGCACGTTCACATCATGGGGTAGGATGTCCTGATTCTTGTTGGAATGGAGGAATGGGTGACGTGTTGGGCCTGCATTGACCCCCAAACTGAGACTCTCCATAGAAACACTCCAAACCAAATGTTATTGAGAAATCTCCCAGAATGCCTTTCCGGTAACGTCTGTTTACATAATGCCATCGACGACTACTGATGATGCTTCAGGGGTCTTAAAGGGTCCTCTCATTTTGTGAGGGGAGATTTCACCACTACCCCTTGTAACTCTGTTCTGAGGGGCAAAGGGAGCTTAGAAATGATGAAGATTAGACTGAGCCTATAGTCACATCTACAGAAGAGAAGAAGAGTGAGAGAGCTAGCACAATGACTGAATACCTACATTTGAGTCATAGTTACTTCAGTTAACAATTATTAACTACACGGCCCACAGTCCTGCTCTGAAGTCCGGTGTGTGAAGACTTCAAACTGGTTCACTTGTGTTGTAAAGCACAAATAGGTTCAGCTCTGTTCAAAGGGTTATTGTAATTTGAGTGAAACAGAGAAGTTCTTTTTATATAAGACTATATTAAATACTTCTAAACGTGTGAATCGAGCTTCGCCTGAGACCAATTTATATTAAATAATGTGCGGCTGCTTTCTCCGTTATTAACATGTTTAAAAACAGAAACTATAAGAAGCTGTGGTTTTGTCTTCTAATAAGTTCCACTAAAAACATATTTTTCTACGAGCTTTATTTGAATGTGCCTAAAATGTGAATTCCAAAGTTTCCTCTCGAGGGTAGCTGGCCTCAAAGTCCGTACAGCACTTTGAAATCGGTGGTCAGCGTCGTCCGTTTGTAACCAATGATCATTAAATGAAAACCCCCCCATGTTTAAAAGTAAAGAACAACATTTTCTTCCAAAGTTACTTCATATTTTTTTCAGTTTGTTAACGATGGTACAGAAAGTTGGTCTTGGAAAATGTCCAGAAATCCCTTGAAGGTATTCAAACTTTGTTTTTGGTGTTCAAATGATTTTTTTTTTGTAGAATATATTTAATAAGAGCGTTACATTCTGTAGATCACAAAGAGCTACAGGGAGAGTTTAGATTGTGAAGAGAAACACTTTCTTTGTCGGTAGATGAAGCGTGATGACCAATGAGTATGTGCGAGCTGTGCTGTGTTGTTGTCATGGTGATGATGAGATGTGAGTGTGTGTAGGACCTGAGCTGAGTTGTCATGGTGATGATGAGATGTGAGTGTGTGTAGGACCTGAGCTGAGTTGTCATGGTGATGATGAGATGTGAGTGTGTGTAGGACCTGAGCTGAGTTGTCATGGTGATGATGAGATGTGAGTGTGTAGGACCTGAGCTGAGTTGTCATGGTGATGATGAGATGTGAGTGTGTGTAGGATCTGAGCTGTGTTGTTGTCATGGTGATGATGAGATGTGAGTGTGTGTAGGACCTGTGCCGTGTTGTTGTCATGGTGATGATGAGATGTGAGTGTGTGTAGGACCTGTGCTGTCAGCTTTTAGGCTGAAAATGATGTGACCTATAAGGAGGTTTGTTATGACTCATCACTTCCTGCTGATTGGAGCTCTGTGATGAAGATTAAAAAACTAGAACTTGATTGTTGAAGTCTACATGTTTTTAAATGAATGCACCACTGCTTGAAAATGTTCCTGATGAACACAAAAAGAGGACACATAACTAAATCATAATTTCAAAGTGGTGCAGAAAGCCTTAAATTGTGCATAAATATTGATCAAATCGAGGGAAAGATGTTTCTGGTGCTAAAACTGTTCAGAGGGAAAACCTCCAGATCTCCTACAAAGATGTTTTTCAAATAGATTAAACTTGTCAGCACAGTTTTTGTGCATTATAAACATTATACAGGGAAATAAGTTTGGTTGAACTGGTCAGTAACTTGCAAATTAGTCTTAAGATCAGTATGAAAAAAAATCGTGATAAAATCGTGATCGTGATTTTGCCAAAAAAAATTGTGATATGATATTTTTTCCATATCGCCCACCTCTACAATGTGGTCGTCCACATCTTACACTTCCACAGCTCAGTCCTGTGTCGTCTGCTGCCTGAAAAGGTTGCAGGTGCAGGCTCCATGTTTGTTTGTTCTGGCTTATAGCCGTCATAAATCTCTTTGGAGACATGAATGATATAATGAAAAACATGACATTAAAAGGTGACTGAAGACCCTTAAATCATGGCACAGGTCTTAATAATATGTTACACTACAGATTGAATGTTCTGTAACATGATCAGTCTATAACAGGTTTATGGATTGGCTCGATGATGGAGGATGGTACTGCCTCTCAATCTAAGCAGCACAAGCATTTGGTGTGTATTCATATTAAAAGGATGTTTTTGGTTGTGTATGGAGTTGAGGTTTCTACTGTTTTACAGTTTACATAGAGAAGGGAAGAGCAGGTTTCTGTTGTGACGGCTGCAGCTTAGAAGTATGATGTGACCGCCCTGCCTTAGTGGGTGAATGAGAAGTGAACGCACTGATTCATCCAGAGTTTATCAGTTCTTCCCTGCAGGTCAGACTTGGTCAGCTCGGCTTTATTCCCTAAATTACCTTAACACTAATGCACCTAGCGTTTTTTTCTGAGTGCCAGCATCAATTGTTTGAGGGAGAGCGTGTTAGCAACAGAGAGCGGCCGCCTGGAGAAAAAGAGCAGCGCCCAGCTCCGAGCGTTGTTGACGCCGTCAGCACTCCTTTCCAAATGAATAATATTCACTGTAGTTTTGCCTCCTAGCGTCCGCCATGCTAACTGGCAACATACATAAAATGTGTATTTCATCTTCTTCTCTTGTCATGTAATGGCATTAAGGTGCGTTACCACCACCTACTGAGTTTGAATGAACAACCCTACCACACATGTTCTCTAAAATTAAAGCACAGCATAGACTTTTTTCTACCCTGGCAGACATCCGTGACTCACGTTTGGGTCCTGACCCACCAGTTGGGAACCATGGCTTTAGAATATTTGAAATATTCAGTTTTGTATTTATTCAGCCTGTGAGTATTACTTTTTGTTTCTTTTTTTTTGCCGTGAAAACATGTTCTTTCTTTAATTCATCAGAGGGCGTCGTGGCTTTTGTTCTAATGGAGGAGTGTTGTGTGCAGGTGAATGAATAAACCTTCCACCTGTATGAAGCTGTGTGCACACAAATCTAAAACCACACTGTATATAAAACACCTGGTGTGGTATTCATGTGTATATTTGAATTGATCTCAGTCGTGTTAAAGCTGTATAAACAAAGTTAAGCATCACTTTTAATATGAACACAATGATCCAAGATCAAATATTTAACATTTTGTCACCATGGATACATTCTTGTGGTCAGACAGGTGCATCATTTGATACAAGTTGGTGACGATATGCAAATTAAGACGGTCACTGTTTTATCAGCAGATACAAAGAATCCTTCTACTACTAATGGGATTTAAAAAACTATCTTTGTATACACTTCACATATTATCGTCTGATAATGTACCTGAAACCTGATGGTTGTATGTGGGCTTGTGAATGATTGTACTGGTTCAGTTCATTGAATAGCTGACTGTAACTGACTACACAATCAGAGGCTGAAACAGATTCTGGTATTGGTGTCGTAACATCTCTATTTTGGATCTTGATCTGCCTCTTCCTCTGTTTGGTTTTAAATTCTGTGTGAATAATAAGGGGAATGTGTGCACACACATCTGAAGAGGACTCTGTAAATGTTTTTGATTGAACTGGCTTTTCAAAGTCTTAAGAAATCAAACAATTACTTTGAGCTGTGAGTCAGTTTGTCTTCATGTGTCCTCCAAAGCAACATGTTTATGTCCTCTCTGTGGTATGGTGCCTCACAGTAGCTCCTTTGAGCACTGACAGATTGAGGCCTGTGTTTGTCACAGCAGCAGGTTTCAGCACATTGTGAATAAGTGTGTGTAGATTATTTAGACCAGGTGTGTGTGTGCACTTACGTTGAGGTTAATGTAGCAGTAACAAGCTGTGTTCATGAAATGTGTGTCAGACTATTTTCCTCCACCACAAAGTGTGTGTGTGTTCGTGTGTGTGTGCGCGTGTGTGTTCATGTGTGTGTTTAGTGTAAACGCTGAAGTGTTTGCTTTCCAAGGCAATCTCTATTCATTTATAATCAGTCAGCGTAGAACCAAAGAGTGAATATGCAAAAGAGCAGCCAGTAGCTCATAGTGTGACGTCTGTAGTGTCCATTCCTAATAACAAAGCACACGAGATTCAAGGCTGCTGATGAAACTCTGAACACCACAGACGAGAAGAAGGGAAGTGGCGTGCAGAGAAAGATTGAATATGAAAAAAAAAAAAAGTATTACTGCTTTTCAAGTTGTTCTAGCAGTGAATGTGAAACATATCGACCAAGTACTGAAAGTTCAAACATCAGAACGGTAATTCCATGTGATCGACACACTTTCTGTTTTTCTTTACCATTGGGATTAAAAGGTGTAATAAGTGATCGATCGTTGCCAGAAAACCAAACGACACTAAGTTTGGAGAAAACTCAACTACATATGACTAGTTTCATGTTACACATAGTTCTTTTATCCATTTCTTATTTTGAAAGATACATGTAAATAATGCAGCTTTAAATATCAAGACCCTCTGGTCCAACCTGAGAACTGAATCAGGGATTTCAACCTAAATCTGACCTCACCACTATTTATTAACCTGCACAAAAATCTGAGGGCCAAACATTTTCAATTGAACAATCAAAGAATGAAAATAAATTAAAAAAATCAATCAGCAGGAGAACTTGCACATGTATTGCTGTAAACATTCAGAGTCTGATTATCTGCACAAGTCTGCAGTGTAATATTTAAAGGAAGAATGTGTGACTTTTTGATCCAGTAGATGTCGCCCTTGAGCACCAGCATAAAACCAAAACAAACTGCTGTTTGGCGAGACATCGGCTATTCTGAAGCCTCCGCTCTCCTCCAGAGACACACCTCCAACCTCCCTCCACTCGTGTTCGCGTGAAGGAGTTTAGAGCAAGTGGCGGACAAAATCGTCCTTGGCTCGAGCTGCAATTGCCTTTGGCCTGCATTGTTGTGTTAGCGGGCTAATGTTAGCACACTGTTAGCGCGTAGCTTCATATTGCACATAAATTGACACAGAATGGCCGTGATCTAAAGACACTTACGTGACATTCAAATAAGCAATGAGTATGTTCTTCTTTTTCTCTAGTCCTTGACTAAAACAGCAGTAGAGGAGTCGGCATCCCGTCTATGTAAACATGATGTAAACACAGTGCTAACAACAACACAGCCAGCGGGACTCAGGCTTCAGTCATTGTAGAGACATTTATATAAGACATTCTTGATTTCTGTTATATATATGTCTCAAATGTCGCACATTCTTCCTTTAATCAATATCAAAGACAATCCTTATGACAACAGTTTCATTTTCTGTTTGTTGAATGTTGTGCAAACGTTTGATTTTGATGGTTCAGAGAAAAGTTTAACAGTTTATTTTAATTTCCTTCCTCTTGTGTTAACCCATCCTCTGTAAGACGTCCTTTATTTGTAATGTCCCACTGATCTGAATGAAAAATGATTTCTACTTTTTTTTTCGTGTGACAATCTGCTTAAAGGAAGCACACCATGTGAGAAGGTGACTGTGTGTGAGACATGAAACATGTCCGGGCCTTTGTGAGTTTTTTTTTTTCCATGCTTTACAGCCTTTTCTGTTGAGAGTGAGTCATAGCACTTTTCTGTTGTGTCCGAATATCTCATAATAAAAAAGATGCTTGACTTGACCTGATTTTTGTCTGGTGTGTTTGTGCCATGTGTGTGATTGTTAGCTGTAATGGTGAACATCATGTAAACACCATCATCTTTTTTTAAAAAGATTTATTTCTGGGCTTTTTATGTGTTTTTCAGAGACAGGACAGTGGAGAGAGTCAGAAACTGGGGAGAGAGAGAGAGAGAGAGAGAGCGAGAGAGTGGGGAACGACATGTGGAAAAGGAGCCACAGGTCGGATCTGAACCCGGGCCGCTCGCTCTTGAGGACGATAGCCTCAGTACATGGGGTGCACTCAATAACCACTAGGCTACAGGTGCCACAACATTGCACCATCATTTTCCTCAAATAGAGAATATTCTAGTCACAGAGTAAATAGTTCAAAGGCCTTTATTCTTACTGGCAGACCTGTCATATGTTGATGCATCTTGAACATTAGAATTTTATTTCAGTCAATGTTGAATTTGATCAGCGTAAAACCGTTTAGAAAAAACAAAACTCTGAAATTAAACAAAATAATTTTAAGCAAAACCTATTTAACTCTTCACCAGTTCATGTTGAGGTTTAGACTTAATGTGTTAGATGTTGCTTCTATTTCACTATTTGGCTTTTTTAGAGTTAGAATTTAACAAAGGGATCAGTCAGTGCCGTGGACTGAAGAGTCCGACCGATGAATTGGCCAGCAGACAATATTGAGTGATATTAGCATATCAAGTGAATATGGGCATCGGCTAATTTTATCGCAGATATGCACCGATATTTATGGATTTATTCATCAGTCAAATACCATTTTATTTGCCTAGCAGTTCTCTTTCTGGTTGTCACCAGCAGAGTGCGCTATGTGGAGTACAACAGTCATCATCACCCTCCAGAGTGTGAAGTGGTGATGCACATAGATTTAGTTATTTTCCAGTTGTGTTTGAGGGATCAGTGCAATAAATGTGTATATCTCCATCAATCTCAACAGATCCCAATATACTGGTTTCAGATTGTTTTCTCCTTAATAATGATATCGGTATCAGGCCCAAAAATGTAATATTGGTCTGGCCCTAACAGACTGATGTCATCCATCTGTTACTGCAGGGGGCTTTGGAGTCCATGCTGGAAATGCTGTCTCACCCTAACTTTCATTCTTCCTAAAACCAGACTGAGAGCTGGAGCTAAAAGGTTTTATGACTCTTGACAAACCGTTACACCGTGACCTCCTGTCAATCAGGTAATCACACGCCTTATTGTGAACAACTCTTATAACTCTTCATAAAATCCAAACGGAAGAGTTATCAAAACATTCACCTCCCGTACAGTGTGCGCTGTTCAAGACATGAACTAACCAGACCTATTTATTTTTTTGAACCAGGTATGCAAATGTTTAATGGAATTGAGCTTGTATTGCACATTTTTCGTCTTCTCAAAGCACTTTTACACCGCAGGTCACACCTACACATTCACACCCTGAAGACAGATGTCGCTATGTAAAGTGACCATCAGAAGTAACTAATCCCATTCATCAAGACTGACGAAGCAGTAAGGGAGCAACTTGGGGTTAAGTTTGTCTGTCTATAACCAAATGTAAGTGAGCCAGGAATTAATACATGTTTGATGGTTTGAGTGACATATGAGGTTATGAGGTCTAAACAATGATCTTTCACTGCTACGTTTTTCATTCTGATTTTGCCTAAGTACCCTCACAGCTCACATTCAAAGTCAAGCTAAATATATTCAAGATCATTTCTCACTCAGCGTTGATCATGTTATCATACCCCTTAGTATGGCAATGAAAGGAACAACGTATTTGACACGCTTGAATTAAAAGATTTATTATTCTTCTCTCACACGTTCAGGTGAGAATCTGATTAAACAGTTGTAGAGATCAATGAACTCTCTTCTCATTTTTTCATTGGTTCAGACTTCATGCAGTGGATGACGATGGTAAACCTTTTGTTGGTTGCTCCTGTAATTAAATAGAAACATGTTAAACATTAAAAACATGACATCATTGTTAAGGCACTATATTATTGTTTATCTGGATTTATATGGTTACTGTCTCTAATGATGAACTCACAATCACGTCCATGAATTCTGGCAGTTCCTTCATGATCACAGCATGGTCGCTCTCCTGTTTACTCTCTCTTCTCATCCTCCAGGTGTTTGCTACGACCAGCACGGTAATAACCAACATGGCCGCTCCCACAGTACCTGCTATGACTGTGACCATCGTGTGGTCATAAACCGCTCCCTGAGGTGCACCATTGTCTGCAGCCTTCATCTGTTTGGTTTCAGGAAGCGCCTGAGTCTCCAGCAGATCAGAAATGTCTGAAGACAAACAGAGACAAGATGATCTTATATTGAAGAGTTGTGTTTGAATGGTGGTCCTGTCTCATGTTGGAATGACTCCACACCTTCCAGACTGAAGAGGAAGTAGGCATCGTCTCCTTTGATGTAGTTTCTGCTCTTCAGTCTGCTGTGGGTGATGAAGGTACTCGTTCCGTAGCCTGGGCCTCGATAGTAAGAGCTGCCGTCTGATGAAGTCACCTTTGAGCCCACCTTCCTGGGATCATCCCAGTAGTACTCATAACCTGGAAGAGGTGCAATTCTCAGTTTCACTAACAGGAAAAATTCACAGAAGACCCAAGTCATGGTATAAGGAAATTAACGAGGGTCTAGTCAAGCATGCCTCAGTAATACAGGTAGAATATGGCCTAATCCTGCCTTGCTCTTCTGTGTTTGGAAAGTTACTGCGCTGTGATACACTGTTAATCATTTCCTTGAATTTGCTTTCTAACAGGGACATTTTTTCACCAAAAGTACCAGAGATTTCAGTTTCTTTTTTCGCATATCATCTCTCATCTCATTTCAGCCACTAACTTGGCTTAGTTCAGGCACCAAAAAAAACAACTAAATTAGTTCTAGGAAATCGTGGTTTGGGCTTAAAATATTGAGTAACATTAACAGCTGGTTAACTTAAGAGAACAACAACAGTAGTCTTTAAAAACCTTTTAAGGTATGCAGAGGGGCAGGTGAAGGCGGTACTAGTTTGGTAAAAAGAATCCCGATTCTCTTACCATCAGAAGACATCTTGTCAGGATCAGTGGTGACCATCCGGTGCATGTTCATGTGCTGTCTGACATCAGACTGCTGATCCATCAGGGCCATAGTTGCCATTTGCCACGGACACGGCCACTTGAGTTTATGGTCATTGGGGCCTGAGGTCAGGTGGAAGTAGGCGCCCATGTAGCCTGGACGGTCACTTCTTCCATTAAGGTACACACCTACCTACAGACCAAAGAGTCAAAGTTAAGGCTGGGTACTTTGGAAGAACCAGTCAGAGTACTTAATCAAATAAATGTATGAACCACTTCCTTAAAATACATGTATGTACACTGCCTCACTGATGACTAAATGAGAAAATATTCTTGTTAGCTTTAACAGGTTTAACCCTTTTTTCTCTGCTATTTTTAGGTGAGTAGTTCACTGGCTGTAGTTGCTGATTCACAGTTAGACAGCTAGTGATACTCCTATGACTGATGAGGTAAGACGCTATGCTGGGAGATGACCTAAAGTAGGTAAGAATACACCTGTGTTCTTTTCTTAGTTTTTGGGATTTCTTCTTTTATTTTCAAGACTGTAATTAGTGGCACAATGCAGATTATGCAAATTAGAGACATTATTGTTCTGCTTTATTTTTGTCTTGGACAGGAGCTGTTGGGACAAGCAGGTACTCCGTGGCGGTCCCTTCACTTCCCTGTACAGTAGTGCACTTGGGTGTCAATGCAGATGGTGTGTGGTTTTTCACGAGTGTGGTGTAACTCCCCTACATTTCAGCTGAAATTTCTGGTCCATGTATCTCTGTAATGTTTACAGATGTTTTATAAACCATCTCTTAAAGGTTTACAAATCATCTGTCATCATGCAAGACTGTGCAATAAAGTGTTAACATAACATCAATTATAGCATTATAAATAATGTGAAACACTATTAAGTATCATTTCATTGTTTGTTAACAGTAAAATAACTATTAGCTAAAGTTAATTAACTATAAATTTATTATTTATTGATGATGGTTGTTGTAAAGTGTTACTGTCTTTTATCAGTGTGTTATCACGTTCATGTTTAAATCTCTGTAACAAGGCTGCAGGTGAACTTTCTTTATTCCTGCTACAGTCATTCTTTACTGGACGTCTCTGTATTTATTAGATTAAAAACACAAGATATGAAAAAGGAGTTTACCTGGAAGGAGTAACCTGCTGGAGACAGGAAGCGAGGGCTGTACAGTTTACTTCCCACCGCTGTGGTGGCCATCAGGCGGGTGATGTTGCGGATGTGCCAGATGTGCTGAGGGCACTTGGTGGATGATAGGTTGATGTCATCTATAGAGAAACCTCCTTTTGATGCACCGTTTCCCCGCACACCCTCAAACACTACACGTGACTTATGTATCACATTCAGATTGATGTTGTGCAGCTCCCAGGAGCCCATAAAACCCCCTAAAGAGAACAGGATATTACAAGTCTGAAACTATATTCAACTGTAACAATCATATCACTGTAGTGTTATGTATTAAACAAAGAGCTGGTAAGCTTAAAAACGACATAAAAATTATCCAGAGAGAGGCCTTTTGTGTTCTCTATCTAAAAACAGAGTTTCATCTGCACTTAAATTAGATTTTGTAAGAAACTAAATGTGTTTTATGATGGATTTTTTTTTTTAGAAAATCTGCTTTTGCAACTGATTGCAATACATATTGTTTCTTTATTGTACAAATTTTTCTTTTTATGTTTTTATTTTTTCATCAGCTGTATTGTTGAGTTGAAAAGGACTGCTTAGATGACAAAAATGTCTTTTGCAAGTGACTGCAATTCATATTTTTTTATTTATTTTAAATTACTTTATGCAACCTTTATTTATACTTACCATCGAGGGGCACCTCATCATTTACGATGACATCATCGAGTCATTACAGACTCAATTAAAAGCATTAAAAGAAGGCCACTAAAGTGAACAAAGTGTGGGATTTCTAACTTAGACAATTAAGGAATAAGTAAATACAAGAGTGTATAATGAAGCCAGCTCAGTGAGTATAATTAAATTGAATACCATAGGTTTGGAGGTTTAAAAAATATGGTTTCTAAAATGTCCAAAAGGTCAAAATTAATTGTCCTCAAGGAGATGTTGGATCTTGTTCCAAGAGTCCAGTGCAGAATTAGAAAAAGCAGTTTTTCTGACTCGAGCGACATTCAACAGTAACTGGTTTGAGGAACATGTCTGGTAATGCCCAAAAGAGAAATGCACAACTTCTGTTCTGTATGATGGAAATGTTCCTATGGGAGCTTTACAAATAAAAACATGCCAATGCATATACGTCTTTCTTTGAGAGAGGACCAACATTGACAAACAATGATGTGTATCCTAGGCGTTAAGGGTTGTGGCAGGTGTTTGTACTCTTTAGGTGCTGTTATTTTTTGTCTTAATGAAAGCTAAAGACTTTTTTGTGAGTGACGTCGTGTTGCATTAATTACCTGAAATACTCTTGAAGAGCTTCATTTTTCCGTTGGGGTTGGCCTCATCGTATTCTCGCACCCAGATATTGAGAAGATCGTCAGCTGCCCCGCTGTTGTGAAGGAAGAACTGCAGACACTGAGCTCCAGGTTTGGGGTAAAGCCAGCGACTCTCCAGAATTGCATGCTCCTCGGGCTCAGCAGAGGCCGTGCTGAAGTGCATGAAGTAGCCTTTCCCTAAAGATGGCGAGGGACAACAGTGGGTTCATGTTTGGCTGCAGGGTTTACTTACATAACTGGCAATAGTTAATTTATAATGATTAAAGAGATAATTCGAATTGATAAGCAAGCACAAGCGCTGATATCTTTGACAGCTAAGCCTGAGCAGTAAATCATAAAGTTCTGTATCTGCTTTTGTTTATCAACAACTAAAGGAATCAACCCTTCATAATCTGTGTCTAATAAATCATTAAATCAGGACTTATCTTAAAACTTCAATGAGGATCTGAATATTTTTACTGCAGGTCTGTACCTTGTACATGTTATGTCATATCACATCAGGAACCTTTATTTTGAAAATATCTTCAGACAGCAAACAGATAAGATGAGAAGAATATGAGCTTTTATTTTATATAACTGCTGACTGGACAACGAAACAAAGGTATGTTTAGAGAGAGCTCAATATCTAAAATGAATCTCTAGTGTAAGTTCAAGAAGACTTTATATTTGACTTCACGTCGGGTCCATCTCCTTCATCCCTCTTACACTCTCACTCTCATATTTCCGCTGTCATTTTCTCGGGCGTATTTGGTACTCAGCTGTCTCATTAGCTGGCCTCATCCAACCAACAGCAATAACAGCATGACGCCCTTCCCTCACTGTGAGCTTGCCGTCGCGCTGCTCCCCTTTTAAATATAAATAAATAAATAAATATGATTCTTTCTCTGCCTTTAGCTCCTTCATGCTGATATTTCGTGAACCCCTCACCCTCCCCATCAATCATCATCCATCAATTCTTCACCCATCCAGTCTCAAGCTTCACCCCCAGTCACTGTCTGGACTCCACGGGGGGATTTATTCTGACCTTCTCCAAACACATCAACCTAAAATTTAAAATTGTACCTATTCATTTGTAATGTGACGTTGGGTATCTTAAAGTTTTCCCAGAGGGATAACCACTAAAATTGCAAGGAAACAAGGATGCAAGGAAACAAGGAAAACACATAGAAGGTGGGAAATATAACTAAAATAGTTAACTCCAAATAAATAGGCTCCCTTTTCCCTGCAGGGCAGCTGATAAAAAAACTAAATTAAAGGGAAGAACAATGCTGAGACACAAAGGCCACCAGGCCTGTGTTTCTAGAGAAACAAATTCCCATCACCAACAAACTATACTTTTAGAGCTGCTGGAAATAATAAACAAGTCAAGTGGTGCTTATTCAGAATCACACATTTTCTATTATTTTTCTATATGGATCAGCAGAATAGATCTGCTTTAATTTTAGATTATCTATAGTTCTAGATCTAACTAGATTAAGTTATATATTCATGAAGTCAGCTCAATAACAAGATTAAGATACTACATGTAAGTAAGTCTAAATAAAATAACTGACCCTTGATTGCTTTTAATAAGAACAACTTGCACACATTTCTTCCACTTGTGTCTCGGTGCACAGGATTTAATAGTTCAGCATCAAAACATGCACCTGTTTAGCATTTTCTAGGTAACCATAACGACGGACACTACCTTTGCATTGGCCCATGTTAGAGAAGTCGGTCTGAGGCCCTCCGCTCACAGAACTGCGTTGTTCCCACTGTCTGTGTCCTGGACCCTGAATCATGCCACAGATGTTGTCCTCCTCAAAGTCACAGCTGTCCACAAACGTAGAAGACCGGGCTGTGAAGACAAAACAGTGTCACCGCGAGTCTCATTAGTTTACACTCTGGTTATTATTGGGAATGTCCGGTAATATGAATATATTTATAGTTTATAAAAGATGGTGGATATTTATCTGATAAGTATAATATCTCAAATTACATTTTTGCAAATAGATACCATGAAGTAATTATCTTCACAGCATTATTATGCTTCATTCATTTTTGGAAAAGGGAATGGAAAAGGAAAAGTATCTACTTCAAATTCACAGAATTATTGCACCCTCTTCATTCGCTTTCGAGACGGGATCGGCGGAGCCAGCAGTGGAGCTCAGCGGTGTGTGTGTAAGGCAATGTGAATTTATAGACTGGGCGACCAATCACTGCTGCAGAACCAATATGAAAGTCTTAAGGCGTAATGACGGCAGAGCTTCATTACGGCGCTGTAGCAGAAAAAGAGCTTCTATCTCAAAGGGAATATTCCTGCTGAGATAAAAAGGTTAAATAAAATAAATTCATCTAATTTATCATTTAAATGTCTTATGTAAGAATTTGAATTAGTAAACCTTTGATCAAATGTGTTATCAAACCCTGAGCTTTTTATTTTATTGGCTTTTATTTGCCCTGCATTAAAAGTGTCAAAGAAGATCAAAATTTTGACGGGACACACCAACCTCAGCCTTATAACTGGGTGGTCAAATTCCATGTGAAAAACAAAAGTGCAACCACATGGATATTTTTGCATCAACTCGCAACAGAGCTAACAATGAAAAACATGTCGGCTGCCTTCGGTCTCCTGAAGAGCTGAAGATAGTAAGAGGACGTTTTGGAACTGTCGGCTAATGAAACAAAACTGAGACATCTGCCTTTACTTTGTGCTTATAGTTCTTTTACACAGTATGATGCCTGATGTGTTCCTTCCTTTCTGTGATATTTTTAATGGTTGGTGTAACTGGCTAACCTCTCTGGTTTAATACTCTATGGACAGAATGAAAGGTTGGGATAACTCACTGCAGTTGTAGAGGCGGTTGAGCTTTGTCAGGTCACTAGCACTGAAGCCCATCCTCTGACCAATCACATCCCTGAACTTGGCATTCTTGGTGACGATGGTTGGCTCAGAGCCGATGTTGAAGGACGTCTTGCTGTAGTGCATCACAGAGCCGTAGTCATAGGGAACGCCAAGAGCGCTGGACACTGTGTCATCCCGCGTTTTAAAGTTGTGCTCTTTACCTAAGAAGAATAAAAAGTTCCATAAGAAACATGCCCTTTGTTTATGATTGTTGTTATTTAGCACTGAGCTGTAATTCAAGATGTGACAGGTCAATGGTACCAGGTGTAATTTGGTTCCATATGATGTTGACGTAATCATCGCGGTCAGCTCTGGAGTGCTCGTGCCAGAAGCCCAACGCGTGCAAGAACTCATGCTCAACAGTTCCCAGGCGGTCACAGTTGTTACCAATGGACAGTCGCTGCTTCCCCACGTGTTGGTTTCCGACAGAGGAGGAGCATCTACAGACGAGGGGAAAAAGATAAGCTACATGTTTGACTAAATGGTCTGTGAAGCCCTGGAGACAAGGACTACATTTAGATGATAAAAAATACACCAGCCTCATCTCAAAAGTTGTGTAACGTTGGAGTGTACTGGACATTTTGCTCACCCGCTCCCTTTGTACACAGAGATGTAGTTCTCCTCTCCTTTCCATGGTGTGAAGTCAATGCAGGTCTTCAGTCTGTACTGCTCAAATACCTTCAGGATCACTCCCTTTGCATTCATCTCTATAAAAACACATCGGGAAACGGCATTCTAACTTGGTGCATTCACAAAATAACAGCATAATAAGTACTGTGAAGAGTTTCTTACCCAGGTTGTCCTCCAGGTATACGGGAATTGTTGTTGGCCAGCGATACCTATCACCCAGGATGGAATTTCTGCTGAGTGTCTGATTGGAATAAAGGAAAAGAAAACATGTCTATAAGCCATGTACAAAGACATATATATTTGGGAACACTATTTTTTTAACACAGAGCTTTCCTTCACTGCAAAAAGTTTTCATAAACAAGTCAATGAGAAAGTTGATGGTCCGATGTGTAAGATATCTACTGAATTAAATTATAAAACTGACCTTACTACATCATCGTTAGTACAGTTTGCAGTTTATGAATCTACTGCTCTCAACTGAATTGCATGTGTCTTAATTCTTAACTCCTAAAGGTACATTTCAAGATATGTTGTTGTTATGTTCACAGAGGTGATTATTTTAGGTGACGCAACCTGTCAAATTAGCCAAGGTCATGTTTTGTTTCTGTCTATTTATTTTATTTATTCTTTCTTAAAGTCATTTCCTGTTTTATTTTGTATTTATTCTCTCTTTGTCTTTCAGATACTGAGTCTCATATTTCCCCGCATAATTCTTCCCCAATCCCCAATTGTATCATCTTGGTCCAGCGTTCTTTTCCTGTCAGTTTTTTAGTTTTTTGACCATTGCCTGCCTCTTAGTTATTTGTTTGCTTCTGTATTTTTGGATTACCTGGATTACCTTCGGTAGACCTGGACTGTTTAATAAATGTATTGTATCCAGTCTTGTGTGAGCCTACCTTTTGGGGTCCTCTTATCTGTCTATCTGTTAGTAGGTTCATCTGTGACTATGACAGTATAGGAAGCAGTCTTTGTAATATGATATGTGTGCAAATATGTCCTATCCCATCCTCAGAATTAAGACACAGATTTCTGGATCGTATAGCTGCAGCCGTTGGCCTGTGAAGTAATTAGCGTCTGTTCGAACTATCTTACCTCATCTTGTTCTATGTCTCCCTCCAGCAAGTCCAGCCCGGCAGCTGCAAAGGAAAAAATGCTTTGGTTGATGCAAAAGAAAAACTTTAGAACAATTTTTACAACCAAGTAAATTTAAAAACAAGGCGACAAACCTTCATTGACGTTAAAGATATCCCAGTCATGTCCTTGATCAGCATCAGTTTCTGCAGATTAGGAATCAATAATAAAATTGGATTATAGCAAGTATAAAAGTATTTCTTGCTCTTAGACAAGTGGAAGAGATTTTATGACATGTTTGATAACACCTGATTCGTTATGGCTCAAAGCTTAACGAGTTTATTTCAAAGCTTTCAAGAGTTTGTGTTGCAGGGATTTAACATGTACTCCATTTTTACTTGAGTGTACTTCAAATTCTACCTTTATAAAACATTCATATGTTGTCCTCCTGTTGACAGAAGTTACCACTGAATATTTTCTCAAAAGTGACTCACCTGTGTCTCCTGATAGTTTAGCTGTCGCCTAAATAAAGAAAGAACATCAGTCCATCGACAGAGAAAATCATAAATCACTGAACTTTTACCGTATAGTTTTTGCAGAAATATATATATGTATATATATATTACTGTTTGACACAAATGTAAAGGCTTGTACGTACCAGACCCAGACCAAATAACAGAACAATCCACCTGAGCGTCATGACTCCAGCTGCAGATACACAAGCAGTCTGAGTCCAGCTGTGACTGAACAGAGCTGCTCATGACTTTTTGTACAGGACAAACATGTCACATTCACATGATCTGATCTTCTTTATGACTCAGGTCGACGGAGATTAAATGCTGGTCCAATTAATTATTAATTAGATATCTACGATTAGCTTATCTTAGTGTTGTAGCTACACTAATAAAAATGTGTGTGTGCAGGAAGAGGGTGTTTTAAGTTCAGAGAGCAGACATTTTCTTTCACATCTGGAGGTAATAACAGTCTGGTGTTACTGTTGAAAACTTATTTTATAAAGCATCATGTTCAAACTGAGGAGAAAGAGGATTCAGGTTTGTTTTCACGAATATTTTTTCACTGGACAGCGTTCATTTTGGCAGCTGCTAGTCTTTCAACAAAAAATACTCACTTTTTATTTTAAGAATTATTTTTTATCACATTTTAGTAATTTTTTGCCCTTTATTTTAGTGTAGTTTTAAATCATTTTTGTCCAGTTTTAGTGGATAGAAAGTCAAAGCATTTATGTTGTTATCAAAAAAAATCTCTCTTAAAACTCATTCAATAAGCTATCAAATAGTAAACATTAATATAATCATAAAGCTCTCACAGGAAACTACTTCTCCACTGTCAACACTTTAAGCCCCTTTAATATCATACTGAAGAAAAATACCAACGCACTTTGAATGCCTGGACTTTAAGTGGGCTTGTAGTGGGGTGTTTTTAAAGTGTGGTAGGAGTGCTGTTACCACAACACCTGGCATATATTTTAGCACAGAAGAGCAACAGATTTAACCTTTCAAAATGCTTTTTTTTTAAATCAAAATGTAAGTCACGTTTACAAATACAAAACAAAGGTTTTATTAAAGTTTTTCTTAGCTCGTTTACTTCTTGTCTTCGTAATGGAAAAAGATCATTGAGAAACACGTCTCATTATATTATTCGTTAACAACATTAACACTGTTGGCAGTGTTGGGAGAGCTTGGCCAAAGCTCAGGATCTCTGGGCTGTTAAGATGTAGGCCTGTAAGTCAGTGGACGTCTGACATCGTGTCTATTAACTGAAAAAGCTTAAACCTTAGTGAGTGTATTTGCTGGCCCTGTTCTACGAGGGTGCAAAAGCATGCATTGAATCCTCATTTTAAATTTCTGCACCCTCAATTGAAGGGATGCATAAAAAGAACAATTATTTTTATTACAATAAGTAATGAAGGCTTTCAAATGACAACAGTGACACACATTGAGTTGATGTGTCCATGATCTGATGTCATGAGAGGTGCACATGACCTGTCTGTTCACCGGGGGCCCTATGCGGGGGCCACATGCAGGACCCATAACATATACGCTATTTTTCATTGCTGTTGCCGGTCACTGAAGCTGCACCCCCTTTAATCTAGGATGCACCCTCAGTCATTTTGTTCTAGAACCGGGCCTCCGTATGTGTCTAATTTCTAGTCAAAAATGTCTCATAATACTGAATAAAAACCATGCTCCAGAAAAACATCTTATTTCAAGATATTCAGAGAAAAAGATAAGGCCTGAATTACTGAAAATGAGTTAAATAGGCTTTCAGTACAGTAAGCAAAATGTACATTTATTGAAATGAGATCTTATTTTGTTTCAATAAATCTAGCTATATCTATTTCTTTATCAAGAAACTGAAGTTAATCTTTTTGCATTTGCATTTTTTTAAATACAAATTACAAGTTATCCAGGCCTTATTTTTTGCCTTTTAAAGGTGTTTTTTTTTTTCTTTTATTAAATGTAATTAGATATATATGACAAGCTTGTTGGATTTCATTTGGACTTTGACCTGTTTTGTGGATTTAGAGCTGCCACTGAGTGAAACACTGAACTCAATAATAAATCTTTTTTGACGTTCAGTGAACGCCTCAAAGAAACCAAACCTTGTCAATCTGTGATGGTTGCGACTCTTTGGCCAATCACAGAGCTTGTGAAAGTGGTAGTCATCATGAAGCAGTCCCCATAATCCAAATGACATGATATCAAACCAGTTAAATAATAATAACTGTAGAAGGGAAATAACATTGTCAAGGGGTTAACATGAAAATAGTTTATTTCATAATACAATCAGCCATGTTACTCAACACGGTTAATAAGAAAATCTTTAAAAAAAAAATGTTCTTGCCACTTTAAATATTTTTCTCATTGTTGTTAAGTGCTCATAATGGAATAATGTTGGGTCTTAATAATACAGCAATGAGTAAGGTGTTTTACCTGCTCTTTGTGAAGTGTCTTCAGATAACATTTGTTATGAATTGGCACTATACAAATAAAGATTTATTGATGTTTATCAGCCTTTGTCTTCCACTCTCTGTCAAACAGACATGTGCTGGTGAAACAGTGAGGGAGGGGCAGGGGGAGTCTGGAGGCAGGAGGGGAGGAGGTAGCTGAGGGATGAAGGAGGTGTGTACAATGTGAGAATTTGTTTTGGTCTGAAAATCTGCACGGAAAGTTGCAATGTAAGCCCTTAATAGAAATATATGAAAGTGGTCTAATCTTACTATCACTAAGGCGGATGAGCATGTTTGCACAAAGTTGACGTTGTCCTTTAACATTTAGCCAACACAGAAAAAGGCACTTTAAAAATCTCATATTGGTAGAAATCCTTCCAAAATTGGTGAAAGGGCAACAAAAAGAATGGAAATGTTTTTTTCACAGCTCCCACCACCAGCATGCCTAACTTTTATCATGCTTCAAACCAGCGGTTCATCTGAAAAGATCGAGTTCAACCCCAAAAATGAACGAGTCCCTTGAGTCTGCAGGATTGTTTCTGAATGTCTGTGAACTCAGCATTCAAGCCGTCCTTCCTCTTTGTCTTTCAGTACTGGAGCCCAAGAAGCAGCTTTACTTGTCCATGCTGTGTCCGTATATCAGGGACTTCCTTCACCTCTTAATACGGCTAATTCTTTCGCACATGATGGACAAGGACTGTGTAAGCTTCACCATGGCAATGATGACGGTTCCTCCAATCAGGGTGCAGGTTGGCCAGAACAAGGAGTGGAAGACGGCGACCCGGCCGTAGATCTGAGTCAGGATGGCGCTGTCCATTCTGTCTGTCGGGTCCACAAAACACTGAACACTGTGCTGAGGCCTGAGGCGCTCAGAAATGTTATGAACAACGGCATGTGTGGCAGAATAGTCCTTACGGCACTTAGGGATGTAGAAACACTGAATGAGGAAAGAATAGAAAAGAAAAACGAGAGTTTAGTATAGTACTGGCTGATTATGTCTGCATACATGTGTAAGACAACGGTACTGACGCCGGTACTTTGCTATTGTGGCCTACGTCATTGTTAGCACTCGTGTTGCACTCAAGACCACAGTAATCAAGACCAAGACATACCCGAGACCAGAGAGCTCCTAGACAGAGACAAGACCAAGACATTTAGGGATCGAGACGTAGTGAAAACCAAGTCCATAAATTTCAATGAAAATCATCATCTCGTGTTCAGCAGGCATGTCACTCACTTAGTCCTTAACACCGGGAAGGTTGCGACCATAACCAGGGGGAAAAATCTAATTACACATTAATTGAAGTTATTTGTTTTTTTTTAGAAAGGGGTGTTTTCTTCTAATCACAGATTATGACGTGGTAAAAATGGCTATGCATGGTGGTCTTGATTTAAAGTTCAGAGTCCTCCCAGTCTGAATCCCAGACAAGACCGTGAAAAAAAAAGCTTTTGATTCGGAGACGAGACAGAGACCTTCAAAAAGTGGTCTGAAGACCAAGACCGATTTCGAGTACTATAACATTAGTAAGCACTACATACTTATGAGTTGGCGTGTCTGCAACACTCCGCAGTTTGATTTCTACTTATATTGCCAGTTTTCTGGTTCCACCACATTCTCTGCTTGCTTCATGTTCAGAAGATACAGTATATCTGAGATATCTGAGATAAAATGTATGGATCAGTTGTGGCAAAGTATGGGTGGATTTCTTTCCCCACTATGTTGATTGACAACTTACCTGTATATAGTATCATATATCATTTGTGTCTTTAAAATAATGCTTCCTCTTGTTTTAACTCAACTGAATCCAAAGACCAGTATAAAACAACCACACCATTTGTGTGGTGTACCTCTGGATTGCTGTCCTGCGTCTCCTCGTTGTGAAACAGTCGCACCACCTTCCCTGAGGAGTTGAGGCTGACGTAGACCTGCAGACACGGGTAACGGGAACTCTTCCAGCACTCTGCTCCACAGCTGTATGAACAGTTCACATCCCACACGATGGTGGAGTTCACGATGGTGCAGCTGGCCTCACCTGTCCATAAACTGGAGAGAGAGAGAAACGACTTGTAATTAGGGCTGTTGAACCATACATTTTTTCTAATCACGATGAATCGCTAAACTTGAATACAGTTTAATCAACAGTGATATTCATGCCCTGCTTGATTCTACGATCGTGCCTAATCGACTTCGCTGTCTTTCTATGGCCTTTATCACTAAGAAATTTTTAGGATCAACCAATCACAGCTTGGTTGTGTCAACGATTAATTGCATTTCATCATACAGTATGTTTGAACCCCAATTATTTGCAATCCAAAACTGCTTTTGTTGGGCTTTTATTTTGAATTTGCGTAGTCTTGAACTAAGGGTACTTCCTGTTTGGGTAAAGAAAATGCTTTTATTTTGAAATAAAAAATAAAAATAAATAAGGTAGATCTGAAGTTTAAACAGCAGTACAAATGAAAACAGCTAAAAAAGATAAATGTGTCTTATTGCACAAGGTGGATATTACTTTTGACTTGTCAACTGAGCCCTTTTAATAAAGAGTTCAACCAAAGGTTTTTTTTGTAAAATGAGGTACACAATGTGTAAAAAAAAAATGTATTCATTTCTGACCTTAATCGCAATGAACGTGTTAATGCTTACAGCCCTACTTGTAACGCATACTCTTACACACTTTAAATTGTTTAAAAAGTAGTAAGTCATTTTAAGTAGATATGCAGATGAACACGTGTTTGTAATCAATAAAAAATAAAATGCATATCTTGACTAAAAAAGTCTATAAGTGGCCATGTGGCCTGCTTTCTAC